CCTCCCCCCCCCCCCCCCCCCCCATCATTCTTGACAGGCAATTGACTAAAATAAATATTTGTTTACCCTGTTGCAATTACAACAAGCTAAATGATTAATTGGTATGGCAAACCCTGGCTTGGTTCACAGGGGCTGCTGTGGCCTGACCTGCAGGGTGCCCCCGCCCACCCTGGCACCAGTGGGGTGCTTCCAGCCTCCCAAGGTGTGGTGGAGACTCAGCGGTTTCCCAGGGCTGCACCTCACAACAAACTAGGCAAACAAGGTAAATTAGTCCTCTCAGATCTGGGTCTGGGGGAGACATCCTGTGCCCGCTTACCTCCACCTTACTTTGCAAGACCCAGCAGTAGCTGTAGCAAGAGAAGGTGCTGCATCTGGCCAAGCACAGGAATAGGGACGGCATATACCTGGAGCTTAATAAGGCTTTTGACATGGTCTCCTCTGACATTCTCATTAAAAAAGTTAAGGAAATGCAGACTTCTTGACTACCTTGTACAAGAAGTCAGTGGGGTAGATCCTGAGCTGGTATAAATCACTACAGCTTCCATTATTTCATTTTTAGGTGCAAGCTTTATATCTACTGCTTATCCTCTCCACCGCAGAGGATTATGATTCTGTCTTTGGTCCTATCATGATCTTGGCCCACTTTCATTGGGACTCCGAGAGGAATCTTCAACGATGGTCCACTCCACTCCACCATCTCATTTTACCCTTTTCTATTGATACTTTTCCATGATTCTGCATAGCTGAAGGTAGTTCTTTTATTTATCTTTCCCCTGCTACTAAGGCCTCTTTCTCTGAATAATTTCATTTTCTATATGTAGTTTTACAACTTTACCTGTTTAAGCTTATAATTTGCACTCTGTAAAGACATGATCATATGAAAAGCAAAATTTTACTGTGTTTTTCCACAACATTTTAATGGTAAAGCCACCTGCATTTCCAGTTGAACCATTTAACCATACCTGTGTGTCTGTGAAGAGGAAAACCATATCTTTGTCTTCTACTCCTGCCATTTTATACAACTTCCTCAGATCTTCATGGAAACTTTCATAGCTATAACCACGGCTGAGCTCTATTTGAAAGCATGTGTATCCACAAATGTGAGATGCAAGTCTGGTCAAAGATTGCTTGCCTGTACCTCCAACTCCAACAAGCAGAGCATTTCCCCTTTCCTGACGAATCATTCGAGCAATTCTATAGGAAAAATCAAGCACAGGGAAAATGTCAGTCTTCACATATTTCTTGGAATTTCATTATGGCACTTCAGGAGTATCTCACAATGCAAGCCTTAAGATGCTGTATTTCCAAGCCATGGTAAGTCTCTCAAGCAATACCTGGGTCCCAAATGTAAACAACATTCTCTGCTCCGCTCAATGGTTTTGGCAGGGAACATATATATATTCATGTAAGTCAAATTCAGACAGAATTTCCAGGCATTAATTTGGAGTGAGTTTTTCTTAGTTAAAAAAAAAAAAAAGAGTTTCTTTTGGAGACCTTCAACATTCCAGTAAAAACTTACCCAGTGTACTCTGCATTCTTTAGCCAAGTCCAGTTACAGAATATGGGTCAGCTTTGACTGAAAATAGCTTTTGACATGTTCTGACTTCAGCAGATTTGTCATTCAAGTTCATTTCTAAATTGCTTCAGGAAAATCCAGCTTGACTTTCTGAATAAAGGGGGAGGCTATCAATAGGCTAGCTAGGAAAAAAGACTAACATGTACAGTGGACTCACTTGGGGCTTGATTTTCATTTCCACTGCTCTGGCTGCACCAAAGGGACACAGAATAGACAGACATTATATCTGCACTTTCTTTAAGAGCCATCTATATTCTAAACTTCATAATAATTATTATTAATTATACTATGATATACATACTTGCTACAAAAAATAAAGAATAGAGATTTTGTGTTGACAAGATACGGCCCTTAAAGGAAATTCCTGAGTTGGCCCACAAGTACATAAATGGGACTTAGGCAGAATTTAGGCAGAATCAAAGGAATAATCCAGAATGACCCTGCTCCAGAAGGCACAAAACTCATTAGGCACCTAAATTCATTCAGCACATCCATACCAGCCTGCAAAGTTTTGTAGGCATCTATACAGTGGCTTGTACAAATGACTGGAAGTAATCCAGTTTGAGCACCTACGCTCCTATGTCTCAGGTTTCTAACTCCAGAATGGAGCTGAGGAGTTGCTGAGTCTCCATCTGCATTCGCAGAAGGGTCTGATACATTTAGCATCCTCAAAGAATACTTGAATTGCATTTAACAGTATCATGCTCAGTACAAAGCTCAGTCACCCTGGCCACTTTCACTTATAAAATGGCTAACTGTGGTAGCAGTACCCTCCTTTTACATAGTAGCTACTAGTTAGAATACTTGCCTAGGAAGTAGGAGGCTGAGATTTTAGGCCTGTCTGACCCTAAGGGAATTCATACACGCATCCCCTAGTTAGGGTGGCCATTGGTCCTGTTTTATACTGGACTGTTCTGTTTTAAAACCCTTTGTCCCCTCTCTGTTTCTGAATGAGGAATGGACTGCAGAAAATCCTGTTTTTTCAGTTTATTGGTGGAAATGCGTGTCAGTCATTTGTCCACACAATTCTATTGGCTGTGCCTGGAGGTAGGGTGGTGCACAGCCAGGAGAAGCAGAGCTCAAAGGCACCCAGGGAAGGAGGTTGAGTGGGAGTTGTCCTTTTTGCGGTGGCCCTACTCCTTGCTGCTGATTCACCAAGGAGGCAGCAGCCCCCACCCCTCACCGATAATTGGCCAAGGGTGCTGGTGGTCCCCCTCAGCACCAAGGGGGTCCTGTATTTTGGTGATGTGTCAGTTACCACCCTACCCCTAGTTCCAAGGAAAGTATGCTAACCACCAAACTAGGGTGGGCATACTGCAGCCTTTCTGTTGCAATTAATGCACATGAATAAACTGTGGAGCTTTTTGTGCTGGAGTTTATTCATGCACAGCATACTGAGCCTGGTCAGAGCAGCCCCAGCTGGCAGCAGCCCAGTGCTGTTCTGACTGGGCTCAATGTTTTGTGGAGGGGCTGGCTGAGACATGAGGGTGCTTCATTGTGTGGCTAGCCAGGAGGCACCCCGCACACTGAAGCACCTTTGTGTCCCAGCCAGCCAGGTAGTGCCTGCACATGTACTGCTGGGCACAAAAAACTTCTGGAGCACACTAATACTCATGAGGCAGACGTAAAACTCAGGCCTCCCACTTCCTGGGTAAGTTACAAGGGGGAGAGTTACAAGTACTAGCCTGCTCCAGAGTCTATTAGTTTTGTGCACTCTAAGATGTTTACTGCAGTCTTTCCTCGTAAGTCATGTCCCCCAGACCCCAAAACATTTTTCTTGCACTCTGCTGGAGCCTCTCCAATTTGTCTACATCCTTTCTGTAGAGGGGGACCCAAAACTCAACACAGTACTTCAGATACGGCCTCACCCTTCCTGAATAGAAGGGAATAATCACTTCCTTTGATCTACTGGCAACACCCCTACCAATGCAGCCCAGTATGCCATTAGCCTTCTTTGCAACAAGGGTACACTGTTGGCTTATATTCAGTTTATTGTACACTCTAACCCCCAGGTCTTTTTTAGCAGAGCTGCTGCCCAGCCAATCTTCCCCCAACCCATACCAGCACATGGGATTATTCTAAGTGCAGGACTCTTTGCACTTGTCTTTGTTGAACCTCATGCCATTTCTTTTGGCCCAATCCTCCAATTTATCTAGGTCATGCTGAATCCTAGCCCTACTCTTCAGTGTATCTATTATTCCCACCAGCTTGGTGTCATCTGCAAAATTGCTAAGGGTTCACTCTATGCCATCTACCAGGCCGTTGATGAAGACATTGAACAAAACTGGCTCCAGGACCGACCCCTGGGGCACTCCACTTGATACCAGCTGCCAACTAGGCATCAAGCCATTAATTACTATCCTCTGAGCCTAATGCACCAGCCAGTCTTCTATCCACTTTACAGTCCATTCATCCAGCCCATACTTCCTTAGCTTGCCTGTGAGAATGTTGTGGGAGACTGTATCAAAACCTTGCTAAAGTCAATATACCACATCCACTGGTCTCCTCGCATCCCCGCAGCCAGTCACCTCATCATAGACAGCAATCAGGTTGGTTAGGCATGATTTGCCCTTGGTGAATCCATGCTGACTGTTCCTAATCACCTTCTTCTCTTCCAAGTGCTTAGAAAGGGATTCCTTTAGGACCTGCTCCATGATATTACCAGGGACTGAGGTGAGGCTGGTTGGTCTGTAGTTCTCTGGATCCTCCTTCTTCCCTTTCTTAAATATGGGCGCTATGTTTGCCCATTTCCAATCATCTGGGACCTCCCCATGAGTTTTCACCATGAATTTTCAAAGAGGATGGCCAATGGCTCTGCAATCTCACCAGCCAGCTCCCTCAGTACTCTTGGATGTATCCCATCTGGTGCCATCGACTTGTATATGGCCAGCTTTTCTAAAGAGTCCCTAACATGGTCTTTCACCATTGTTGGCTGCTCACCTCCTCCCCAAACTGTGCTGCCTGGTCTGGGAGCTGAAACAGCATAGTTCACCCTTTTCCATATCATCTGACACTAGGTTGCCTCCCCCATTCAGTGAGGGACCCACACTTCCCTGATTTTCCTTTTGTTGCTGACATACTTGCAGAAACCCTTTGTGTTACTCTTCACATCCTTTGTTAACTGCAATTCCAATGGCACTTTGGGCCTTCCTGATTTCATCCCTGCAGGCCCAAAATCTTATACTCCTCCCTAGTTGTCTGTCCAAGATTTCACTTCTTGTAAGCTTCCTTTTTGTGTTTTAGCTCACTGAAGAGTTCCCTGCTAAGCCAAGCTGGTCTTCTTCCATACTTGCTAGTCTTCTTGCGTACTAGGATGGTTCGTTCCTGCATCCTCAGTAAGGTTTCTTTGAAGCACAGCTAGATCTCCTGGACTCCTTTAACCCTCAGACTGGCCCGCTGCATCCCATGCCATGGTGGGCCAGCTTCTCCCCTGGCTTGGGCTTGGTCCTCCTCCTCCTCCACATGAGGCCCGGGCCCACTCCTCTCCCCCCCCACTGCTCCCATTGCGGCACGCCTACTATTCCCCCAACCTGCGTGGGACCTGCTCCTACCTCCAACACCGCCAAGTCATCCCATGGTGGGCCCTGCAGGCAGCGATGATGGAAGAGAGGAGGGGGCGAGCCGAGGCCAGCACTGGTGGCCTCTCCCCCAAGCCGCCGCCACTGTTACCTGCAAGAAGTAAGGACGGGGGGGCTGAGGCCACTCCATCCTTGCCACTTACAGGGAGCAGGGCAGTTGGGAACAAGGCCAGCGCTGCTGGCCTTGCCCCCCTCCCAGTTCCATCTGCTCCATTGCTCCCGCCTCCAGGGAGCAGGGGGAGGGGAGGGGCAAGCTGTGCTAGCCTCAGCCCCCCACTCCCATGTCCCCACCATCATGGTGGCACTTCACTGGCCACCAGCTCCTGTTGGATTTGGTGGTAGGGGGCTGCTACAGACCCCCACACCAAGGGGAAGAGCTAGATTTGGGACTCCTGAGGCAGCTCTCGGAGACCATAAAAACTGAGGAGGCAGTAGTCATGGGGGACCTAAACTACCCAAACATCTGCTGGGAGACGCAGACAGCAAAGTCCAACTGTTCACGCACGTTCCTATCCTGCATACAGGACCTCCACCTGATGCAGGAGGTACATGGTCCCACTAGGGGGAATGCCTTACTGGACCTGGTATTGGCAACGGGGGATGACATGGTAGAAGACCTACAGATCGGTGGTCACCTGGGGGACAGTGATCACTAAATAATAGAATTCATCATAAGATGTCGAGTGGGTAAGGTAACTAGTAGGGTGAAAGTGCTAGACTTTAGGAAAGCGGATTTCAATGAACTCAGGCGATGACGCACTGCGGAGTAGGAGTTTTGAAGAGATGGGAGCCCAGGAAGGGTGGCTGTGCCTTGAAATGATCCTTCGGGCACAGAGGGAGACAATCCCGATGTGAGGAAAAAGAGGGAAAGGGGCCAGAAAGCTTCCCTTGCTGACCAGAGAAATCCAGAGCAGCCTACGGGCTAAAAGGGGAGCATATAAAAAGTGGAAACAGGGAGAGATTACCAAAGAGGAGTATACCTCCTCTGCTCGCGCTTGTAGGGAGGCAGTTAGATGGGCCAAAGCTACCATGGAGCTGAG